ATTATTATTATTATTAAAGTAGCAATACATTAACTAAGCGCATTTTATTTTGACGTTTCCGGAAGTCTTGTTTTCTTTTTTTAATCCAGGACGACAGACCCCCCTAATGGGACTGATTCATTTCAAAATAATATTGCAAAAACTGAACCCTAAACTACTAACCTAACTTTTCGGTTCGAGTTTGTACTTTTTGTAAATTAAACTTTGAGCACATTTGTTTTTTTCTCTTCTATAAAGATTAATACGTTTGACGTTACAGTCAAATTGTGAGCATCAATGTGCTACATACTTTTATTTTGAAGAGAATAACAGGAATTCGTGTTTTTCATTGTGGCTAACAGCTAGACTTTAAAAACAAAATATGACGTGGCTAATCCGGGTGGAAAAACCACAGCACGAAAATCTGAGCCATTAAAGTGTTTGTCAGAAAACTAGAAGTTCCTAAAGGTGTAGATATTAAAGTGCAAACCGAAACAATAAAAGGCGGTTCTTATTTTTAATTTGGAAGCGGAAACTACTAGAACTATTAGCTGATTGAGCTAACGTCACCTGCTAACATTACGACTTTGACAGCTGAGCAGGAGAAAAGGTGAGTTAATAGCAAGGAACTTAAGTTAGCTTGTTTTTTCTCATTAAATTATTAGTTTATTATAGTTGAACCAGCAGTCGATGCTAGAAAAACAGCTGACGCTCGTGTAAAGGATACTTGCAAGACACGAACTCGATGTTCTCCTAAACTGTTAGCAAGCGTTTTGAAAGGGAGAATTTAACAGTAAATCCAGTAAACATCCAGTACGTATTGATCCCAGCGCTAAACTATTACCACGGACTACAAGAAAACGTGACACACACATTTTTATGGATTATCTTTATACTTGTACAAACTCCTACTTTTTCTTCTGTGCGATGATTGTTTTCTTTGCCACTTTGGACTTTCTATGTACTTATATATGATTCAGCATCACTACCTCCAGCTCACATGGATAGCTAAAAGCAATGCAAAGTCGGATTAATGCATTAATCTCATTTGTCCTGACAGCTCCACGATTTAACGCTTGGAGATGTGAAAAGCTTCTGCTTCAAACCCATAAGAAAATACATCTCTTTAGACTTGGTTAAAGCCTTGGTTAAGGGCCAAGCTAAAGAAACATTTAGTGCACCTCGTTTTTATGAGTAGAACAGTTTATGAACAGAGCAGTATGTAGTGTTTCTTCCTCTTGTGAAGCCCCGGTCAAAATATTTCTGCTTTTATGAAAAGACGCAGAGATTCCCTCACAAGTTTGATTTACTGGAGTCACTGTTTTAAGAGTAAGTCTTTTGAAATTAGTGATTATCTCCCTGACATTAGAATGTGTCACCCCC